GAGTGAAAAAGAGTAATTCCGCAATTTTTTTAGTTGTATTATAGGGTATTTAACTCTGAAATGGGGGGAAAAAAAAAAAAAAAAAAAAAAAAAACTGTACGAACATAGCCAAATCATGTTTCTTTTTAATTGATGTTCTCAGGGACACTGCGGGACAGGAGAGGTTTCGCACCATTACCACAGCTTACTACAGAGGAGCAATGGTAAGTCCCTGCCTTTTCAATCTGTTCACTGTAAATCTACCATGCATTTTCATTACAGGGTTCAGAAACTTCAGAAGGTTTTCTCCTCTGTAGGGTATCATGTTAGTCTACGATATCAGCAACGAGAAGTCCTTTGACAACATAAAAAACTGGATTAGAAACATTGAAGAGGTAACCGCACCTTACATAACAATGTAAAATACTTTTTTAAAATTTTTTCTAAAAGCTGATTAAGTATTGTCAAAATTATTGTGCTTTACCTTTGTTTTTACTCTCAACAATCTATTTCTTTAAATGATCCTTTCCAATATTTTTAGCATGCCTCATCTGATGTGGAGAAAATGATCCTGGGTAACAAATGTGACATGACTGACAGGAGACAGGTGTCGAAAGACCGTGGAGAAAAAGTAAGTCTTCAGTTAGTCACCAACACTAAAAACAAATCTAGAAAGCAAATGCAGTTTTGAAATAAATACTTTTATTTAATCTCCCTCAGCTGGCTATTGATTATGGAGTGAAGTTCTTAGAAACTAGCGCAAAGTCTGGCTTAAATGTAGAAGAGGTAAGTGAAACATTTTCAGCTCGATAAAAGCAATAGTACCCCTTGTATTTACGCATTTTGTCACATTACAAACACAAACCACAGTGTATGGGAATTCTTTGCAAAATAATTAGCCTGGACTTAGTTAGATTGAATGTCTCTGAACACCAGATTTTATATCTTGTTACAGAATCTTAATTGGATTTAGGTCCAGTGTATATGCTCAAATTGAAACCATTCGGTTTTAGCTCTGGTTGTATGTTTAAGGTCGTTATTCTGCTGGAAGGTGAATCGGTCACCTTTTTAAGCGTTAGAGTATTTACCTCTAACACTTAAAAAAAATTACAGTATTTAGTAATTAGGTTTTTTGTGAAGGCAATTGGTTGCACTGTATTTTACTTAGGACTACCAGAGAAAAGGGGACTGAATGCAAATCCATACCACACTTTTCAGATTGTTGTTTTTTAGAAATACCTGTTTACATTTCATATTTATGCTCTACTTTATAATGGTTCAGTCACATGAAATTGAAATTGTTCTGAAATTTGTAATGTGAAAAAATTTGTATTAACACACATAACATAAATTATTTACATAACATTTTTTTATTCTCTTTTTCTTTTTCCTCTCAGGCCTTTTATACTATTGCAAGAGACATATTGAACAATCTGTGCTCAAAGACGGTAGGTAGTGAAGACACTCTTAAAAAAAAGATGCTGCTGTTTTTCTTGATAACGCTCAGTTTGTTGTTTCTTTGACTGGTAGACTGACAGCAGCGGCGGAGGAACCGGAAGACCGGTGAAGATTACCGATAAGAAGTCAAAGAGAATTAAATTCTTCAAGTGTTCACTTCTCTAAGCAGCAGGCAGACAGTCGTCACATTTCTATCGTGACCTTGCTTGTTTTAGAGGACTCCTTCCTCTCGGGCTTCCTCGCTGCAGCAGCACTGCTCTTGCACACACGGTCTTACTGCCACCTGAGGTCTTGGGCAGTCGAGACGCTGCCCTGATTTGCTGATCAGAAGAGTATTGGTGGAGACTGAAGGCCTGATACTTTGTGTCTGCTCATACAAAAGACTCGTGCAGGGGTTTGTAGCTTTCCCTGCAGTGCCTGCTTGCAGCGGGCAATAATTCTGCTGCCGTTTATAATATAAAAATACATAGGTTGCACATTGTTGTCTTATTATTTTACATACCGTAGCACCATTTTTATAATATATATATACTACCTACTATCAGAATTCCTATGAAGATGCTTTGAGATATCAGGTTTAAACATTGATTGTATGTGTCTGTATGAAGTTCATGTATATTACTAAGCTTTTGGCCTTTTTGTTGCACTGACATTAGCTCTGCTGCTGCGGAGAATTGTGATAGAAATTAGAATAGCTAAAAATAAGCATACTAATACAACTTATGTATTCTAATATTTTTTTATTTTTTCATAGAACCCACATTTATAGATGTTTCAGTGTTAAAATGAAACTGGAAGGAGTGTTTTTTTTTTTTTTTTCTCAGAAGCAGGACTGAATTCACAGTGTTATACAAGTGTATTGTTTTTGCATGAAAGCAGTAGGGAGATCCCAGTGGGGGCTCGGTACTAAGCACAGAGTATCTGACAAAAGAAAATGTTTACAGATAGTATTTGAAAATGTCAAACATATATAGAATATTGGTGTGTTTTGCTGTTCACGTTGTATATGCATGCAGTTTTTTTACAGAAACCGAGTATTTAGTAGATTTTCATTCACATTTCCTTTCCATGAAAACACATAATTGGGGAAAAAAACTGTAATGTGACTGGTAGTCTTTGTAAGTTCTCATATGTTACACCTACAGAAAAGAGCAACAGTAAAGAAAAAAAAAATCTTCAGAATTTTCTTGTGATTTTGCTTTAACCCCTTAACATTTAACAAATAATTTTACCATCACTATCTAAGGATGATTTTCTTTCTTGTCTTGGTTTTATAATCCATGTTTTTTTTTTTCTTCTTGATTGCTTTTATTTCTTGTCTTGCAAACCCTCATGTGTTTTTTCCGCCTTCATCATCTTCTTCTCTTCTTCCCATCCAAGGTCTGACACTCTGCTTGCTTCGGCGAGGTCTCTCTCACTGCTGGAGGCTCTCGGCTCTTTTAAGAACACTATGGGCTTTACTTTTCTGTCGCTGGCGTTGCAGCTCTTTGACCTGTGAGACCGCATATACCTTTCATCGGCTACGGTCAGGTAGTCGGTACCATCCGAGGGGTTTCTTTTGGGCTTTGTTGTCTTGCGGTCTTTGTCTTGCTCCGTTTCTGTTTGACCTGTGTTACTATCTGAAGGAACTACATCTGTGTGATTTATTTCTAACTCTTCAGGTGAAGCAGCAGTTTGAAACTGCTGAGCGAGGGTTTTGACTGATGATGCTTTTCCACTAGAATGGACCTGATGTTTTAAATCTGCTGGAGTTTGAGTTGTATCACCTGCTTCAACTGGATCATAGATGATGCTGCTGATAGCCCTCTTCCTAGTGATGGGAGATGTTTGGCTTTCAAGTGGAAGATCTCTTAGAGATTTTGCCCGCCTTGGAGAAGAGGAAGGTGCTACCAGAGGTTTTGCCTCGGTTGTAGGCTCAGCAGATCTCTCTAGTTTATCAGGGGGGTGGACAGTGATGGTGCTCCTAGATCTTGTCTTTGTCATAGGAGATGAGGGCTGGTCTTCAGCAGGAAAGTATTTCAGGGACTTGGCCCTTTTGGCAGGCGATAAAGGTTTTAGCCTGTTTTGGTCTGACAGTTTGTCCAGAAACGTTGTGCTGCCTTGCTTTATGTTGGTTATGGTCTCTTGGCTTGAAGCCCCAGATGAAAGCCTCTGTTCACATGGAGATATGAGAATGTCCACACCTGAGCTAGGTCGCGATCTCTCCAAACCACCAACCTCTAGCGTCTGTGCTGCATTGAGAGCACAAGTGCTCGAGGCATGACGCACACTCCGCTCTCTCTCAGGGCCTACTTTCTCGTCCGTGTCCTTCTGCCTGGTCGCAAACTCTTCCATGTCCATGTGGAAGCGGTAGAGGCTGTAACCATCTGCACTGTTAATGCTGCCCTGCCGGAGGAGAGTGGAATGATCACACACAGACGAGTTTCTAGAGAAGGTTCTGGTTAGCTCCAGTTTGTCCAGCCCTGCAAGCTTTTCCAGTGCGGAAGCCATACGTCCATGGAGCTCTTCCAGCTGGGCCAGACGCAGGTCTACTGTCTGCAAAGATGCTTTCATGGTGTTCTCCCTTTCATTGACCTCCTCCAGACGCATTGACATGTTCTCAACTCTGCAGATAAGATGAGAGAGGGAGCATGAAACAGCTGTGATTGGAAGTACAAAAAGTACAACTGAGAATGCATTTTACCTCTCTGAAGTAACCTTGATGCGTTCATCACTTGAAGACTGTTGCTCGTCTTCCTTTTCCCGGAAATATTCCTCCACGCACTGTTCCTCAAACTCATACAGATTCTTTAGCTCTTCTGGATTTAGTCTGAGCTCTGCAAGAAAGATTAGAACACGAAGTTAGTCAGAACTTTAGCTTAATCAACAGAACCGTTTTCTGGTAAAACAAGATTTCCGTAATTTTGTTCAACTGAATGAGACTAACTGAGGCCCCGATCCTTCTCATCAAGCTCTCCTTCCTTATTTTTCCTGATGCAACGGCGGAAAAGCCTGTTGAAGAGGATGTAGAGGTGACTCAGGATGATGAGAGGTGGAGGCAGGATTGGGCGGTCGTGGAAAGTCATGATTAGCTGGTATCTTTGAAACTTCCACACCTGGTTGGAGATGGACTTGACTTCAAAGAAGGTGTTGCTATAAGATAGAACAGATAAAAAAAAAATAAAAAAAATAATGACTGTCATTTTAACTCTGAAGATGTTTCAATTAGTCATCCTTTTTTTCTTTTCTTTTTTCTTTTTTTTTTACTTGAAAACGGCAATGAGCAAGTTAACCAGAAGGATGTTTGCCACGAGAAGATAACAAGCCATAATTGCGGGTGTGAGCCATGCACCGGGGATGCATGGAGGAAGCTTTTTCCCATCTTCATCATATAGATGTTCTCCACACGGAGCTGTGAGGAGAGAGGTGATAAAATTAGCTTTGCTATTAAGAACAGTTAAGCAGCAAACAGATTAGAGTTGAGAATCCATAATTTAAAGACTACTTACGATTAATTTCCATTGCATAGACTTATGAAAATACAAAGAAACAATTGCAGAAGGACAAAAGGAAAAGGTTAAAATCAATGGAAAAAGAAATCATGTTTTCGATTTCTGTCGAGGTGAAGATGGTATATGAAAAAAAGGAAAAGATCATAGAGCACTTCCATCAAATTGGGCGCTTATGAATGTTTTTGTCCCTGTATTACGATTTGCTGTCATTTTTGAGTTAAATCACATAACTAGTTTACAGTTTAAATTAGCCATATACAACAACAATGTAATAATTTTTAAATTTTATAAACCAAGGATTAATTGAAAGCATGTGCATCAGCAGAGTTTTAAAAGTCAAAGTCCTCATTTACTGAATTTCTAAATGGTGTTTATTCCATGTGATAAACATTTCTACAGCCTTTCGTACAGTGTGTGCAAATATTTGACCTTAATGATTTTGAGATCAATATCATCAATGTCATAGGCTGAGGAGACCAAAGGATATGAATTGGGAATAGAAATTCCAGAAATCAAGACCAGCTTTTTTCTTGGGAAAGAAAAGGAAAGCATTATATATAAAAAAAAAACAAACCAAAAAAAAAAACATTTGCTCACTGCAATTCTTAAACAGTTACAAAATACTGCAAAGTTATTTATTGTAAGAAAATGTTTGAGCAAATGTGCAAACCAAATGATTCTTGTTTGACATTCATGTCATACATATCTCTTTTGTCATTGATGGGTTTAAATAATTTAAAAACATTACATGTTGTTTGCTGATTGCTAATTTTGACTACGTGTTGATGTCTTCAACTTGACAGAAGCGGCTTTCACAGAAAAACAAATCTTAATGGCTGATGATTGTTAGTGAGAAGACATATATCGTCTGTTCTGTTCCTGTTCCATGCAGCATTATTGCCATGAATGCCATAAATGCAACAAGAATTGTCACAAATCTGCCAGCAGAGGGAGCCAAAGTATGGAGTGTACCATTTTGTACACAACAGAGTGTCAACTTTACTGAAATTTTAAGACACTGATCATCTGCCCAGAATCAGGAAACAGAATCTTACTATGAATTCTAGTCTTACGGTCTATCGAGTCCGCAAAAACCTCCCCATAGATCATCCAGTAGGGCATGTAGAAGATGTTCCTGGCCAGGCGCCACGTTGGCTCTTCGTCCGGATGAAGGATGGCTTGCCGAGCCACGCCGAAGCTCATCAGTACCACCAGCATGATCACGACAAAGTACATCATGTCAATCATCTGAAGGAAAAAGAAGCAAACACACTTGAGCTCAGTTTGCTCTTTTTATACTTGCAAAGATTCTGTATGATGTCATTGTGTTTACCATTTTCCCTATCATCATCACGTATGGTCCCAGGTACTTGTTGACTCCAAAGATGTCCAGCACACGAATGTACCAGAAGATGATGTCTATGCAGTAGATGACTCTGCCGTAGCCCATGTATGGCTCTGGCTGTAGCCGCAGCATCAGTGCCAGAAGGAAGGTAGAGATGGCAGCAAGGTCTGTGATGTTCCAGTAGTCCTCCATCCAAACACTTATCTTCTGCTTCAGCTTTCCTGGTTCTGACATCAGTATCTAGACACCAGGATTTATAAGTTAACATTGTACCAATTGAAGTTTAAATATTATTCCAATTTTTAGTAGGACCATTTTAGTATCTGTTACCTGTCTAACTTTTTCTGTGCCAAGAGTGAGGATGTATGCAATGACCATCCACTCTTGTAAAGAGGGCCATCGCTCCATTTTCACAAGAATGATGTAATTATACAACATCAAATAACCCAGATAGGAAATCTAATGGGGAAACAATGTAAGAAATAGATATTCAAGATGATCTTTACTCAGAAGATTTTAAAATGCTTGATCTTTGAGTAAGTTTTAGTTGAACTTACTGTGTTGAACCAGAATTTGGTAAAAGGGGCATCATAAAATTCAAAGAACCTTTTTGCAATCGGAATTTTGCGCACATTAGCATTTCCCTCCTCCTCATCTCCTTTGCGGGAAGTCCCATCATTGTTGGGGTCCTACAACATAAACACAAAGTCTTGTCATCTTTCATCATGACTATAACAGAATGTGAAACTAATCATCAGCATGAACTCCGACCTTGCTGGATTTTGCATCATCGTCCTTGTCCTTTCCCTCTTCTTTTTCTCCAGGTCTTTGATAAGAAGTGTCCTCTCCAATTCGGAAGTCCAGGAGCATAATCAGTGGGGGGAATATAATTCCCAGAATAACCTAGGCGGGACATCATCAGTCTGATTACATCATTATTTTTAAACAGGTTTCCAAAACTGCTTCGCAAAAAACTATTTAAGGATCCACCTTAAGGCCAGGATTTTTTCCAATCCTCAAACACCCCATCCACATGTCAGTGAGCAGCATTTGGCTGCAGGTGTGAGCGATAAAATCCCGCTGCTTTGCAGCCACTGCCAGCTTCAGACAGGTCGAGTTACTCCAGTTGACTAGCTCATATGTTAGGAGTTTCATGGCTACTTGTTCGTCGCGCTTGTAGGACTGATCCAACAGCTCATACGCTAGTTGCCCAAATTCTCTGAAAAAAAGGTGACAGCTATAAGCATTACGTAAAAGACCTAAACAAGCAAAAACCAAAAAAAAAAAAAATCAACAACAACAACAACAACAAAAAAAACATTTTAAATGTGTGTTTTTATTTCAATGTTTCACTCTGCAGCACTGACTTGGAATTGTTCTCCAGGTCTTGGGATATGTCGTCCACCAGTTCACTTTCCGAGCACTCGTGGGCCATGGTCTTATACAGCTTACAAGCTACCAGGGCCTTCGCCATAGCCTCCTCCCCACGCTGCCAAAGAAACAGCGCCATCTTCTGGCGCTTTAAAAGAACTGCCCACAGCATCAGCTCGTGGAACGGGTACTTGAATCGGCAGACCTCTGGGTCATCCACATCTATTTCCACCTCTTCTTCCTTCTTCTTTTTGGCCTTTTTCTTGCCTTTTGGTCTTGGTTCATCATCCTAAAAAAAAAAAAAAAAAAAAATCAAACTTGAACTCAAGCATTTTGTTGCAGCTGCCTGGTAAATAAATGAACTAAAAGGAGTTTTCAACCTCACCTCCATTCCCAGGAGCTTCAAAGCTTTTGGCTGCACAAGAAGGAAAGTTAATTAAAATGCTATTACTCTGAGTGGATCATCTGTTCTCTTCCATCTATACATACCCTTTTTAGGCCATATAGATTATTGTAGAGGTTGCGGAAAGCCTTTCTTGTATAGTTGCTTCTGTAAGCTCCACCCATGAGGTATTCCAACACCAGACCAATATCAATCAAAGTGATCTGATAATCTGGAGGAAGATTTCCCTGGAGAATCAAAAGTTATGTTTAAGATATTTAAGACTTTCAAAATATTTAGTATAGCCTGAAATATGAATGAAATTTTGATTCTACACTATTGAATTTGTGAAATATAATTTACCTTTTTAACATCTCTAACCACAGCATGCAGTGTATTTGCGGGGCCAAGTTTCTGAGAAAATTAATGATGGGAAGAAGGTTAGTAATAATGTTTCTACACATTTTAGTTATATTTTCACCTCAGTTTATGACTTTGTGTTTTAGACCCACAGTGTTGTACAGCTCCTCCAGTCTAGAGATGGTGAGGAAATGATGAATGTTGACCCCGTTCTCAAGCAGCAGTTTGACGAAGTCCACTCTGTCCAACACCAGAGCATCCATCATTGCCTGCTCCAAAGAGTTCACCTAGTACATGGTAAGATATGGAACATAGCCACTCATTTAGCCTTAGTCATGTTTCCTCATTTTCCATGAAATGTTTCCTACAATCTTCATCCTCACCCAGCGAATTAGCTCCAGCTTTCTGGGGTCTGTCTCCTCAGGAGGTTCAGGTTTGGTCTTTCCTTTTCCCTTCCCCTTTTTGGCCCGAACCTTGCTGCGTGGAGCGCTGGCTGGACTCTTTGGCTTTTCCTGAGTTGTGGCAGCACTAGTTGTTGTCATGGCAATGGCTCCAGCAGGCTGATAGGAAGTAAAATTAAAGAAGAAAACTGCTGTCTCTCTTTTGAGTAGTAAAAAACATCAATAATTTTTTGTGGTCTTCCTCTAATTTGATTTGACTATATATATATATATATATATATATATATATATATATATATATCTCACCAGTCTATCTTTAACAGAAAAAAAGCTCTCTTCACTGAGCTTTCATCTACCCTGCTTAAGGCTGTTTCCCTTTTCGTCCACATCCTATCCATATTTCATGTCTTAAATGCCATGTATAATAATCAGCGTCGCTGCTGTGGAACATTTTGTATTGATTGGTTAATATACACAGACCACTCACTGGTAAGTTGTGCCCGTAAACGAAAATGTGATTGCGGGCAATATCCACTCGGTTCCAGGCCAGGGCCAGACTGAGCTGGTCTGCTGCGGATGCATTAGTGCCTGATGCAAACAAACAATCAAAAGCAAAGAGAACCTGTAAGAAACAGGTCAATGCTGCCTGCAGTAATAAAAAAAATATTGCTGTGAAGTTATTCTGCAATTGCAGCACAGGTCAACGTGATTCAGGACTGCTAATTTTAAAACTTGAAACCATTCATATTTTTTTTTTTTAATATGGCCAAATTGCCAAACAGCAATTTTATGTAACCAAATACTGAATCTTAATGTAAAATATCCACTGGTTACATTTGATCCCAATTGTGAGTTAAAGCTGGAAGTGTTTGGCAAGTCTCAAGTGTTTCTGAGGATATTGTAACCTAACTAAATATTTTCAGCTCAGACGATACTCGGTTGGTGCATCATTTGAATGAAGGATTAAGTAGTCTAAAATGTCTGGGAAGATGGCTGCTCTGACTTTGGATTTGTAGAAAAGTAATTGACCAACACTAGAATACCTTTTAACAAGGCAGTCAGAATAGCCATTTCAATATCCTGCTGCCCCTCAGAACCCATTCGAAAAACAGTGATCTACATGCAGGAAAGGAGAAAAAGAGAGTTTAATAATGGTTCAACAGAAAACAGAACTAAATTACCTTAGAGTTTATAATTTTTCTGGAAAGTATTTTCCCACCCACTTCTGGTTTTAACCAGAACTCCAGACTTCTACATTCTTTGTCCATCGTTATGAAAACAAGGAGCCACTTTTCTCAGCAAGGAGGAATAGCCCTCGCTTTGTTAAAGATTCAGCTGTGTCCAACAATATTATGCAGACCATTCTGTCACATGCATTCATAGCAGATTGAATTAGACTTGCCTGAACACTGACACTGCACACCAAGCCACGAGATAGGTTAACAATAAGCATCACACAACAGTTTAAACACTGTAAACATTTTTCTTGTCCATTCAATTGTCAGTTCTTTTGTCTGCGTTTGCTTATTCGATAAAAGTGTCTCACTATTTTTGCTTTTTCATCAGTTTAATCCAGCTGCTTCAAGTGGTGCACTTATCATAGAATGGAAGGATTGTATCAGGTCAACACACTTTCACCTGCGCTTAAAACATTGCAGCATCAGATTGTGGATATCCTACAGTGCTATGATCCTTGGAAAAGCTGTTAAAGTTGCTTATCCTGGTCTGTCGGAGAATTATGCAGCCTAAAACATCAGAGTGTGTCGGAGGAGTGATACCACTCTGAAAGCCAAGGGAGGATTAGCGACATAGAACCTCTCCTGTATCTGTGTGCAACATGCTTTCTATGAAAACATAAACTAAGCGCTTCCACCAAGCAAGACGGAGTGTGCACTGATCTTCCTCATCTAGATCTATATGGTTTATCAAGGCTTTATATGCTGGGTAATCCTCATCGCATCACTTGTGAGGATTCTGCTCCAGATGCCATTTTTGAAAAATGTGTTTTGCGAACATTTTTATAATTATGATTAATCTAGTGCATATTCCAAGCCTGGTCAATGCTACATTCAGGGTCCTGGAAAGGTGTTCATATATCCTTTGAACTTTTTCCCACATTTGATAAGGTACAATCACATACTTAATTGCATTTTATTTTTTGGAGGGTATGGGGGCTCATGTAAGACTGATTACAGCTGCAAGTATTTTGAGTGTCTCTAACAGCGTTGCACATCTAGAACCTAAAAGCTTTCTTTATTCTTCTTTGCAAAAGAGCTTAATCTCAGGGGAAGGAAAATGCTTGAAACTAACAAATTTCAAGCCTTGCCACAAATTCTTGATTGGGTTTAAGTCTTAATTTTGACTTGGCCATTGTAAAACTTAAATAGGCTCTGTGTTAAAGGTCAATTCTCTGGTGGAAGGTGAACCTTCACCACTGCTTAAGACTTTTGCATCCTCCAACATATTTTCTGCCCAGCTTTCATTTCCCTGCTGCATAGCTTTGTAAGTTGGGCACAAAGTTGAGTTTTGGTCTTGGCACAATCTTCTACGATTGTTCAATAACGTTCTCTATCAAAACCCATGAGGCTTTTACATCGCAGCAGTTTTTGAATTGTGTCTAAGTGGAGTCTGTTCACTAACTAAGTGACCTCTGATGTCATTTGGTTGCACTGGATTTTATTTAGGCTGAATGCAAATTCATGATATGCTTTTCAGATCTTTAGTTGTAAAAAGCTTGGAAAACCATGTCTCATTTTTTTGCCTCAACTTCAAAGTACTGCATAACATTGAATGTATCGCAAATGTTGTCTTAAATATGGTGAAGATTTTGGTTGTAAAGTCATAAAATGTGAAGAAGTTAAAGGGATATAAATATATTTGCAAATGATTTTAGAAAAAGGATTTAATTGCCGACATGATCCAAAAAGCTAAAAACAAAATTTGTTTATTCACACTGTTAATGGAGATATACACAGATGAGTGAAATGGATACATGAATGACAATGGACACTGGATGATTTCAGAAATGTTTATTATGTGACAAACACACAACATTCCCACATGAAAGATGATTTCAAACATGAATAATACCTTCGCTGTTACTCACCAACTCCCTTTTTTTCATGCACTCCATTACCATGAGCAGGATCTGCTGAGACTGGCTTTTGCTATAATTAAACGTCTTCTGGATTGTGACTAAGAGCTGGTCTCGGACATCATCGTTAACCAGGCTTCAGGAGAGGATTGATAAATCATATTTAAAACTTCTTTGACCCGAGAATACCACCAAGGCGTTGCGAGAGACGAATTATCTGAGACCTCACCCTCCATCCTCTGAGAACTTGTGTGCGAAGGATATGATGTCTGAGGCGCGGCCGCTGCCATCGCAGACCACCACGGGGATGGGAGGCTCATCCCTTAGGCTCTCTAAGGTGATGGAAATGACATTGGGACCTCCCTCCACTATCAAGCACACAAGAGGAACACCCTGACCCAAACCTGGAACACATGAAGACAAAGAGTTTGTCCAACTAGTCAACTCGGACACTAAAGAAAAAGAAACAGAATTTCATGTGATGGAGGAAGAAGGGAGTGAAGTCAGTGGTGACAGCTGAGCATCCCTTTGCTGTCCCTGCCTTATTGAAGTTCCAGGCATAGGATGACAAAGGGAAGCCCACGGGTCACAGGGGAGCTCTCCAACAACTTGTCCTTTAAGAACCTCGCTCACACTCGCAAGTTCTGCACATAAGCCCACATTTGTGTGACCTCTGTCAGTCTTGGGTTTTTATCTAAATCCTCAAACTCATCCCCAAGCAAACCAGCTGTGACAACAGAGCGTTGATGTATGCACCACGCCCTCTTCTTTTATCTCTGTGTATTTTAACAACAGTGTTACATTCAGGATTTGTAAAGTTACAATATTCTAGGTCAATGTTTTTGCATGAATGACATTTCTAGACAGAACACAGGTGTTTAGAATTTCTTTTTATGTGAACAAAGGCTAAAGACATTAAAAAATAATAGTTAACTACCAATCTAAGATAATTTGGATGCACCACTGGGACATGTACATAATCTCTGGCCAAGAGGCCCACGATCTCCTGAATCCACCCCTGCTTACGAGTGTTGATCTTCTGCAAGGAGATGTGCTTCTCCAACAGTCGACGGAGTTTGACCTCAGAGCCATACTTCCCACAGGTTCCGTTGTCGGTGAGGATGAAATGAGAATGGCTGCTGTTGAGCACTGCCAGCTTACTCAGTGGGTTTCCCATCGATTGATAGGGTCTGGTCACCTAGAAAAGCAACGGAGAGAAAAATGTCAAACAGAGCTATCAAAGAAACAAAGAAAGAAATTCTGCTCTTACATCTTTTCCAATGAGATCCTCTTTGTTCTCCAAGATGCCCCAAGGAGCAATCCCTATTGCACACACCTTCCCTCGCGACTTGGATGAATGGTCCTTTAAGGCATCCCCAACGTGACGGATCACGCCTAAAGTAAGATTAGCAAAACAGATTGCAATGAATAAAATCTTTTTCCAGAAACCTCATGGAGCTTCGTCATGGGACATACTTTGGCGAAATCCACACAAATTGCAATTTGTGCTAAATTTCCAAGCAATGGTTCTAATTATAGAGCTTAAATCTGTGACAGTGTGCTTGATAAACCTCTTCCCTCAGGAAATTGCAGCAGAGATGTTATGCAATGACATTTTAGAGTCAAGGTAATCTTCTAATGTCGCAATCTGGTATTTATTTAGCAAACAGTAAAAGCATTAGAATAACCTGTGTTCACTCCGCCCGTGAAGATCCAAGCTCCAGTGGTGACGGCTGCTTTTATCAGGCCTTTGCCAAACACTTGCTTGAGTTTGGGTTGGAGATCAAAGTTCTGGAGACCCCCATGCACCGAAATGAGCAGCGTGGGCAGCTCCAGCTGCCAGTCCTTCACCATCAGATGCAGGAGGTTGTCAGGCTTGGTGTCATAAGAGACTCGAATGTACTGTGGAAGAAAATCATTTCAGCCGGTTGTGTTTGCTTTAAGCTGCGTGACAAATGGGGAAAATCTCAACTCACTCACCATTGCCTTGTTGATGAATCCTCCTCCCTGAAACTCAATGATCCCATAAGAGTCTGTAGGGTAGGTCCTGGTGTGCTTCACCACACTCCACTTATCATTCGGTGTCTCGATTTGCACCAGTGGGGTCGCCTCTGCTATGGAATTGGCACCAGGAGGGATGGCCACGTGTTGCGTCACCAGCTGACCACAGGCACATCTGCAACAGATGCATTCCTTGTGAATTAAGAAATGCTTTGACTTTTTTTTCCCCTCAAAGACTTGTGAGAGAAATCACCTGTTTAAAAGGGGCTTTTCCTGAACGTGTCTTTTTTCATTTTCTTTGAAAAATGTGCACTGCTCGTCAGCAGCACACCAGGCAATAAGTAAGTTTGTAAAATCTCCAATAACGGTACTTTGAGCTTAATGAGCACTAAATAATTTAGAAAAACAATACAGAGAACATATTTCTAACAAAAAAATAGAAGTATGTAGAATTAGATAAATATGAATTCCTTATTATTATTACAGGTGAGGGTTAAGGTTCATTGTCTTTTATGAATGTCTTTTATTACATATCAGCTTCTGACCAACAAACTTACAATGGACAAGATTTCTTATTTTATTCTATTCAACTCTTCTGAACAAGATCAACAGCCAATAATTTTGATTGTATTCATTCTTAAGAACTGTTTTTTTACAGCATAAACATTGTTTGATATCATTGAATTTATGTGAAGAATTATAATGCCACACTCTTCCTTTTCCATGACACCAAATTTAAGAATTACTGATCTAAACATTTGTAAATAATTGCAAATCCTTGTTGAAAATCTGACTTGTCACATAATTATTTTTTATTATTATTATTTTTTTCTTACCTGGTTGGGTCCTTGCTGGGAAATATGTGAACACATTCCCTTTTCAGGAATGTCCTCTCAATCCAAGCTTTCTGTGCCTGCGAAGACAAAACGTGACAGAACCTAAGTGAGCATTACGAGCTTTATCATTGCTTCCCCAGGAGATCAGCCTCAGCGATCTGTCTGAATTTAAGTTGCACTTTCCAAATCCTCTTAGTTGTAATCCCTGGCTAAAAGATGCTGATAGTTTGAAATGTGCAAAGAACGCATAAATCACTCACAGGAGAAAATATTTCAGCCTGAAATAGAGTGAATATAGTTAGTGGTGGATTTCGGTCCAGTGGCTCCAGCTTAGAAGAAAACCAGTCCGTTTTCTTTTAATAGCGCAGAGTGTTGCAGAGTGAGAACTTGATACAAGTTAAAAAAGAAGTATCCCACACATTTCTTGTTCTCCGGGGTGGATCAAAGTTTCCCAGAACACGATGCATGTTTTCTTTCCATCTTTCTTCAACCCTCCCAGCCCCCTCCCCAAGAGCTTTTTATAACAGTTGCATTCCAGTCAAATCTGCTGAATAATCTGCTGCCATACCTTCCAATCAATTAGAAATAAAAATTCAGGCAGAACAGAAGGCATTAAATTATGTTAAAGCATCTCCAACTGAGTCGCATGAGAATGAATTAGAGGCCATGCACAAACTCTGCTGGTGTCTTGTGACTTGTCACAAGTTCTGCAGACACAAACCGCTCTCACCTCAAACTCACATGTATTAAACATTTAAAAGGTTGAGCCTTTTAGTTTAATTCTTCCCACACTTTGTTTAGGTCTTCTAAACCAGTGGAAACATAATGTTTTATTAGTTTTATTTTTGTCATTGAAACAAAAGGTATTCCGTCTGCTTATCAGCAACCCGTTGTATTTTACTGTTGCCTTTTCCATCTTATTTTTCTCTCCCTCTGAATCGCCTTGGCTTGCAGTCTTATCATGCGTCATTAAACAACCAGAGCTCCTGCTGTGCTGCCCGCTCATATTTAACTCGTCTGAATTCACTCTTCAGGGTCTGCAGAGCAAATTACCTCCCAGTCTATTAGGTATTTCTGAAATATTGTTATAAATTAGGTTTGTAAATACACTTACATGCAGCCCTCTGTTGTAGCCTTACAGTCCCCCTCTCCGGTACTACAACACGTTAGGGTTTGAGATGTGAAGAGAAGTCTGCTGCTCCTTTGGTTGAGCCTTCCTCTCGTGCTGCATACCCTGCCAAGCTCTCCCATTGAATCCCACTGGACATGAAACTTCTTCACTTTATGAGGGCAGCCTAATATGATGAGCATGTGAGCAAGGTCTTTGTTCGCCCAAGTCCCATGACTCCAGTTCAAGGTAATCCTTTTGGGAGTCCCATGACCCCCTTCTGCATGCCCACGGGGTATTTTCATCCTTGGCTTGAAACAAGGCACAATAAATCTACTTTGATAACCAGCCCCTAATCTCCCAATTTGTTTAAACCTCATTTCTTTGTTTTCCCCCTGCACTGCTGTGGATGATCTTGTGCATGTGTCTGGGGAAGACGGCACAGAACGCCTAAACTAGTTGGTCAGAGACTCTTCAAGTTTTCATCTGAAAATCTTCAACCCCCCCTCATTACCAGCCCTTCCCTCACTCCCCCCAAAACTCTCTTGATTTCAACTTCATTTGCATAATTGGGAGAATTGGATGCAGACATACTTTTGTGGGACACCTTGTTAAAGAATGACTGGTTTCCAGACGGGGGCAAGGTCAGTCAATGCTAATTGCAGTTAATCTCTATTTCCACACACCACATTTTTATGGAGACAAGTGAAAAAAAAAAAAAAGCAAATCTATTCACACCCCTTGAGTTTGGTCACATTTACTCAACTTACAACCACTCGTCGCCTTGTTCTTTTACAAACAGAACATGGCCGACTAAACACAGATCCACACCAGCCTTTTCTGATTGTTAACTTGTTATAAAAACAATCAGGCTTTTTAATTATCCTGTTCACTTTGTGTTACAAAGAATGTGCTTTAAACCATGGCAAAAGAAGGTGAAATGAGGTTAAAAACCTCGAGCAATCCTGCATTAAATGTATTCTGTCAACACTCTCATACGAGCCCCTTTTATGGCTAAAGAGAGCAGTTTGAGCCCGACCGAGCTGACGATAGAAAATACAGCGTGAGAGAGCCCCAACATCCACAGAGTTCACCTGTTTTTTGTCCTGCTCAAGTTTAAGCCGTTGTTCATTTCAGCACAGCAAAAGTAAAGCGCATTTTCAGAAGGGGATATTTGGCGAGTAATGACGCATTTATTTCAGCTTATTTAAACTCATTAACCACAGAAACTAAAGCCAGAATCCAGTCGGCCAGCAAAACTGCTGCCCTCGTTAGGAGCTTGCCTTTAGCACTTAGCCAGCAAAGACCCTGGAGAATTTAGACGTCGCAGGAACAGATTGTGTCACACCAAGCAAGTAGTCGAGACTTAACGCTAGCGTCGAAACAAAACCCAACATTCATTCTGGAGCGCACGCTTTTCTGGGAAGATATTTGCCTAAAACATAAGGAAAGTTGTGCAAGTTGAACATGGTAAGTTCATGTTTGTTGAAAGAGATGAATATTAAAAACTATAAAACTAGAGTTTTATAGGTTGTACGGATAATTATTTTGTTCTCTTGAAACTGTGACCCCTGACCCCATTAATAGCCCTCACATGTTTCTCCATAACTTTTTTTCCTCACTCACTTACAAATTGTAGATTTTCTGTACATTTTCAAACACATACAGGCCACATAGGCAGCATGCCATCCATTCTCTTCTTCTTTTTTTTTTTATTGAAATCACATGGTGTTGGTCTCCTGACCCACAGCTTAGCAGCAAATTTGTTTCAGTGAAGCTACAATTGCACCATTGAACCCCTAAAAGCCATTTGAACAAGTTGTACTGATTCATTTCAAGTTGCTATCGGGATCCCACTGAAGTGTAAGATAAAAAACTAATTGCTCATCTTTGATTGGCAATGGGGTTAGAGCTTAATGAGCTGTGGCACAAATAAAACACAGTTGTAATAAATGTGCTGGACACATAAAAAGCTTTCTTTTACAAGGATTGACTTAAGGGTAGAAGATTTTTGTAATGATTTTTACATTTCTCCGATTTTGAAACTTCGGTTTGGCAAATTGGTTCTCGCTGTGAGGCAGGCTGATTTTAGACGGCCCTGCTTGTAAATGAACTCATTGTCCTCCAGAGTCTGAAAATCCATTTAGGCGTCACGAGTCCGACATGTCACTGATTATCCCCAAGAGTCAGAGGAGTCATAAGACATGTTTTAGAGCTGCTGTTTTTCCACCAAAGATAGAAAGGCAGAAATAAATGAAATCATAAAAACAGAAAATAACTGAATTTTGAGATATTCTCTAAGTACGCAATCTGAAAGTACTGATGTGTTGATAAAGGCGTATTTATGACCTATGAAAAAAGCTTTTAAGTGGAAAATGGTGAAAATATGGAATGTAAGGGGGGGGAGGATGCACAACAGTTTTCAGTTGTTATTTTGCTTTTATGTAAACATTTAGGAGAATTACAGCCAATCTCAGATAAACTATATAGTGGTTTGTATTTTTGGAGTAAAGATAGATAAAAAAAAAAAAAAAAACTAATTTAAGCAGTGAAATTACATTTTTTACATGAAAGTTTATTTTTAGATCTGCTGCTAGCTACTACTTGTTAAACTTACAGCTTGTCAACACAAAATACTCTGTTCTCCTTTCTTTCCTATTTTGAAGAATATTTATAACTAGTCCTTTTCTAATGTCATTCATGACAAAGATAATTTATAAAACTGTAATTTGTTGAAAATATCCAGTATATTATATTCTTTGATGAAATTGTGTTAAAAACTCAAGACTGGACATTTTTCAGTCCAATCTTGCAGAGATAGACATTCTCCAAATTCTGACGTTTTAATACATTTTCTTTGAATTTTCTCTTAACTGTGTAACTTGAGTTAAATGTTCTGGGTTTCCTTTCTTAAGCTTCTTTCAGTAGGTTTCTGGGGTTTCCTCTCATTCCTTCTGGCAAAATTGGTGGAATAGAGTCACACACACACTTTTCAGACCTGTCTAGAAATCTTCTGTAACAGAGATCAGGACTTTGCAATGGACACTTCAAAAACATTCCCTTTGTTGTCTTTGAATCACTTTGTAGCTAATTTGATTGCATGGTTATGGTCATTGTCCATTGGTAAAATTAACTCGGGGCCAAGTTTTTACTTCCTGGCTCCTGTTTCTACAGTATCTCTACATAATATCCTTTCTATGGCACTATTATTTTGTGAAGTGTACCATAGACCTCAATTAAAAGACCACCACAACATGGCATTATGCTGCCACCTGTTTGCTCCCCACTACATATGATATTCTCAGATTTACAACCTTCCAATTTTTTTCCAGCAAATGTAAAGAGGATCATTATGCCCTAGAGTTGTTTCTCTAGACATTTTCTCTTTTGTTCCTTAGTCCATCCATAGACCGTAATCTTCTTCTTGTTAGCCCATGTGATTAGTTCACTGTTACTAATGAGACTTTTACCAGCTGCAGCCAACATCTTCACCAGGTATTTACTTTTGTTTTCAAGGTTCTTTTACACTTTCCCCGCCAAAACACTTTAACCTCTGGAACACAAAACCTGTCTCCTTTCCTGAAGGATATGATGTCTAGATATTTCGAGAAGCTATGGATGTGCAACACCATTGCAGTTAAAGTGTGTGTGATGGAACATCAGTTTAACTTCCTCTTCAGCATTCATTCAGCTTTCAGATAAATAACACAGGGGCATGTTTGTGTGACAACATACAAGTAGTTTCCCACAATATACATAAATGTAATGCATTTTACACCTGTATATATAAAGTTTGACTAGGCTGAAAATGCTTATTTCTATTCAATGAATCTTGAGTTTATATCAGTATTTTTCTGCGTGCTTTATTAGGTCATCCAAATTTGTCATGTGCTCCAGATAATGTAATCTGATTTTCATTTAATGATTAGTTGAATTGTTTAATCCTATTGCAAACCTTCAAATTTCATCTAAAAGTTCCTTTTTTTTATTATTGTTTTTCATTAGAACAAAATTATTTTAGTTTATAAAAGTTGAGTACAACAACCATATTGCTTTTGTTTAGCATTAAGGAACCTTTCTGCAATGCTGCCACTTTTAAAGATTGTTTTAATTTTCATGAGCTTTCTTCACACAAAGAGCCTGCTGTGCCTCGGCCTGAAACAGTGAAACCTCATTCTCAGGATGTGAGCCCTTAAGCTTTTTAACTCTCTTCGGCCCTCACCTGACCTGAGCCTGACTCTTACATCACACACAGTCATATGAGGCTGAAAATCACTGGGTTTGTTAATCAAATTTCCACTGACTGTCCTGCCCTTGTGTATTTGAACAATGGAAGCGATTAATTTGTTCATGAAAATTTATCTCACAATTTCGCCAACCGTCAGGCTAGAGGCTTTGTGGATGTACTTCTTTCTTTCTTTCATACTGCAAGCTGAACCTTTTTCTCAGAATAGGATGAATAGAGATGAACGCTTTCCTAATTTCATTAATGGCAACAGGGTAATATAGTCTGAGCACGCTTAGATGAATGTGCTTGGTGATGCAGAACCTGTGGCTAATGCTCCCAACAAGCACGACATCTGCCCTCATTGTTTTAATTTGTGACTTTTTTTAAACCTAATTTCTAAATGACAAGGATGAAAAATAATTTGTGGTCCATACCGCGAAGCACCATAAACTACGATTATTTTGGAATAGAAAATTAAATCTACAATGAAAGCAACCAAACTATTATATGTGACCAGAAAAAAACGTTGAACGTGGTACTTTGTTGAGTTTTGATACTATTAATATCACAGAACTGTTCACTTTGGAGCATAGTTTAAGTTTGCCCAGTGCAAAAACCTCATATAAAAAGTTTGAGGAATGTATTCTAATTTGGTTGCACCAGAACATTTAAAGGTTGCTAAAATATTCACAAAAAGAGCATAGTTTATCATAGTATGTTCTCATTAATGTCTAATAATCACATCTACCCTTTAATGTTTAACTTTTCGACATTGACTGAATGATCCAAAAAGCTTGAAATGAACCATAGTTCTAAACCACGAGGGGTCTTTGTGGCATTCTGGCACGACTGTGTTCTTCCACAAAATTAGTAAAAAAAAAAAAGGGCTTATTTGTTGATTTGCTCTCTGTTAGTCCATGAAAAATATACAAGCTAGATGCTTTCAATGATGTGAACTGAAGCATATTAATCACATGAAAGCAGAGTTTAGAAAGAGTCTGCAATCTGTCATGACTCCACAGACAGACCATTTTAAAGGATTAAAGTTGTGTTCAGGGGAAACTAGATGCTCAGTTTTAAACACCACTTAATGGTGACTTTAGATGGTTTTGGATGAAAATACTGACCTTATAGCCATACTTCTGCCCATGTAACCTGAACAAACCTGCATTTCTGTGAAAGACTCAAGGTTTTTTTATTTTTGTTTTCTTGGTGTGATAACAAGTGTGATCATATCTGGATTCCAGTGTTTTGTGCTGCAGTCTTCCTTTATATTTTTTTAAATTCAGCCCTATTTATTCAAAAAATCTCATATGAAACCCAAAACAACAAACTTCCATTCAGCTGTCGCCTGGTTAGTAAATTGAGTAAATATGTGCGACATGATCTCAGTGTAAATACATCTGTTTTGTGAAGCCCTCTGAGGTTTGTTAGAGAACATTAGTGAACAAACAGAATCATAGAGAAGTAGGAACACAGCAGGCAAGTCAGGGAGAAATCTCTGAGGGATTTTTTTTTAAGCAAGATTGGATTGGAAATCAGTATCCCAAGCTTTGAGCATTTAATGGAACACTGTTCAACCTATTATCTGAAAATGCATAAGAACAAGTTCCTTTCTTTAGACTACATGGAAAATTCTGTTTTTTTGAGGAAAACTAACACTGAATGTTACCTTGAACACACGATCCAAACGTGGCGGTGGCAACATCATGCTGTAGGGAGACATTACATCTGATGTGCAAAATGTAATGTTGTTGACTGTGTGTTTGTATTTTTATGATCTAAAGCACTTTGAAATGCTTTGTTGCTGAAATGTGCTATACAAATGAAATTTGACTGATTAATGTTTTCAGGAGAAACATGAAATGTGGTCAGAGTTGATTAACACTTTACAATTTTTTAGCTTCTGTGTTTTTGTCTATTGCATGGAATCCTAATAAGATAAACTTTTGACTGTAGCATGAAAATATGTGAAAAAGTTCAAGAGGTATAAGTAATTTTCCAAATGACTGCAGGTTACTAAAACCAGACGACGTCAATTCCAGATGACAACTTTAAAAACACTGAAAATAACCTGTTTTCTGCAGGCTTCCTCTTACCTTTTGTGAGCCAGATGTGCTGCGTTTGAGGGAGGATCTTTTAAAAGTGCCAGCCTGGCCCTTAGTGTCCATCTTGAATGCTTTAGCACAGAAAAGGGATCCTCAATGAGCTTCAGCCACAAAGCTGAGGCATGACTGTCTCCTCTAAATTCAAACTTTGAAATAATTAGGCCTACGATTCTCCATCAGTGCAGGTCTGAGTGCTTCTCTCCCCTCTCTGCAGCTTTCACTCAACTGACAAGACAGATATTCCAGCCAGGGATATAAATCACTTGATGACACACTTGACACATAGACCCTTTTCCTCTGCCGGGCATCCCATAATCAGGCTTAATGCAGCCAGCTCTTGAGGCCTCAGAGTCTAATGGATAGAGATTTAATAAATGGTTATTGAAGGTAAATCTGCTTTGGTACACCACAATGCTGAAAAGGGCTGAGAGGGGCCGTGAAAGCTGTGATGCCAGTGTTAACTGGCCGAGAGCAGACGGTTGTTTCACCAGATGAGGCGCCCAGCTCCATGTGTCTGGAAGGGGAGACAGTAAGGACTCAGCAGGGTGCAGGTGAACAGACAGGGAACAGTAGATCCCTTGCATATACTCAAAAGCAGTTACACTGCAGTAGCTGTACTGAGTTATTTGTGCAGGTTTTCACGCAAAAATGCTCAAATGTTCTGAACTGATGTGTTGTGTTAAATTATGTTGCAATGTGTACCAGCATGTTCAAATTCCACTGCTTTTGAGTAAGATGGACAGAGAGAAGCTCATTACTGAGTATGTGTTCAAAGTTCGTCTTGCTCCAAGTGAACAAAAAAAAAGTAATGTTCAACAACTCCCTCTGCTGGACACACATTGTAATGATCTTTTGAGTGAAAATGAAAGCGTTCAGTTGTGTTCGATGCGACAGTGATCATCACACCACATCACTTTTGCACATTTTGTCATCTTACAACAACAAATTTTGAAGTGGAAGGAAAAAGTCACGTGTTTTTCAAACACCAATCATATACAACAATCAGAAAACGGTTGCCTGTTTTAGTATTATGATGTTTGTTAGAGAACAGCAGTGAATAAAGAAGCTTATGACCAAAGAACAGAGTTGACTGGTCAGATATAGACCTATGGACATTTTTTGAGGGTTAGGTTGGAAAACCATGGCCCAGGTTTTTAATATTTTAAGGAGCACTGTTCGGTCTGTTACTTTAAAAAAAAAAAACAAACAAAAAAAACATGGGAGTAGTATGGCATAACTTAAACCTTTCCAAGACATGGTCATAGGAATTCACCTCTACAGTGAGATGTAAAAGTGTTCTGATCAGATGAGACAAACAGGAATCGTTTTACCCTAAATGCAAAATGGTAAATGTGGAAGAAAACCTGAATAGACATTCCCACAATGCAACATGCTGGTGACAGCATAATATTGTGTTGAGGCCTTTTTTTTTTTCCTCGACTGGAATCGGGAAGCTGGGCAGAGAAAGATGGAGCGAAATACAGAGCAATACTGGAAGAAAACATGGCAGAGAGGAGGTTCACCTGCCAGAAAGACACTAATCAAAAATATTTTAGATCAAAAGCTGTTTGTTAGAATGACCCAGTCAAAGTTCTGTCCATAATCTAATTGAGTATTTTGGGCAAGGCTCTACATCCATTCGAGTGAGCTTTAATTTAAGAAAGAATGTCAGCCTCTTGACGTATGTAGCTGGTCGAGACATTCTTCACTTGCAGCTGGTGAAAGATGGTTCTACAAAGTGTAAACTAAAGAGGGACTGAATACAAATGCATATGCCACTCTTTCAATTTGTTTTATTCGTAACAACAATGTCTTATTTTCCTTCCACTTTACAATTATGCAATATTTTTGCACTGGCTTGCCATATAATACCATTGAAGTAAAAATAAAATGACAATCTGAGCTTTACAATGTTATGATAGCTATCAACAGCTATCCTGAAGAAGAGGTGTGCAGTATTTAAAAACAAACAGGAGACGGTTAACTGTCAATCACTTTGAGCCATGAGAAACAACTCTACCTGCTGTAGTCAGATCCCCTTTGGTAATGATCACAATCACTGCATGCAAACCACTGGCAGATGACTTCCTTGTTTTGGTGTGTCGAACGCATCGGAGAGAGTCCCGCTGAATGCGTCTCATAATGGATAATGCGCAATTTCTCCTTGTAAGCAGGCACAGATGAGCTTTATTATCTGTCAGTGGCTTTGCATAGGTCAGTGGAGGAGATTAGTTAGCCCCAGTGAAGAGTGGGACACACAGGGGGAGGAACATTCACTGAAACATGTGGCAACATAAATATAACTGGGGATGATGCAGGCCACTCCTGTAAACACATAAACAAAGTTTGTTAAACAGAAGTGAACTTTTGCATTTAGCCTGGCATTTTGTGGTTATGTGAAATAAATGGCATGAATAAAAATTTTCATGACTGCATTTCGTTGCTGTATAAACTGCCACCATTGACTTAAATATTGATGGAATCAGTTACAAAGGTTTTGCTTTTCCTTGAATCAAATTGTCTGTGGTTTGAGTTCTTCTGTTGCCTAACAGTTGACTTTGATGATCACAAAACCCATAGTCAGTAAACTGATACTTCATAAAGCTAATAAGTTAGAGTCAAAAACTTAATATTAAAACTTTTTTAAGCAACACAAAACTGACATAAATTTAGCACTGAAGAAACCTCCTACCAAATGTAAAAAAATAGAAAGTTTATCCACAAGAATTTGTTTTCTGTTAACCCTTAACCTCTTACCTAGCTTTATGTTAATGGATGATACGCCTGCCTCATATTAATTATTAGCAGATGCACCCTGTATCGCGTCCTGCTTATTGCAACATTCAGACTAGACTAATCCTTCGATTATTTGCTCTTTTTCCAAATTCTTTTGTCTTGTAACTATTTCTGATGTTTTTGTGCTACTTCAGTCTTTAGTTATTGATTGGTTCCACTCTATCAAGCAACAAATGGCTTGGATATCTTCTAATTCCTGAATAATTTACCATAGCAATTAGAGTTGTAAAAACAGTTTTTTTTAATTTTATTTTTATTTTTTAGTTTTTATATCTGAAACCTTTATTCTTGAAAACCAAAAAGAGGCTCACCCATGAGACTATTCATGCAAGAACTGGCACTGTGTGAACCGATTCAGTGAGATTCGATAATTCAGCATTACAATTCCACATTTTCTTAGATTTATTCTAAGATGTATGCTTTTCTAATGCTTCTGCAAATTTAAATTTCTCATCAGTTGCTTCTGCATCTGTTCTGCTGCCTGTTTCAAGCTGAAAAGAAACACTAGAGACAAGGACAATTCTCAACTGGAGCCACTAGAGGGCACCGCGTTCAAAGGGAAGGAGTGAGTTTGTTCACAGTGCGGGCCCCTGCTTGTTATGATCAGCTGTCTCAAAAGTTGTACTGTTTCAAAGGTTAAACACATAAAAAAAAAAGAAATTTGCATGCTCACGCAGAAAAATTGGGTCTGGATTTACACATTTGACGTTTACAACGGTGTCCCTGCTTGCTCCCTATAATGCGAGGCTCAGTTTACCTTCTCGTGTTTAATTTGACGATTTGTAAATACGTGCTTGACTCATCTCATCATTTAAACCAGATGGCATAAGGCCAGCAGCTGGAAAGGTTTTTTTTTTTTTTTTTTTAAACTGCTTCCACATGTGATTCCAAGAGGGAATATTACTCGTTTCAGGAAGGGGAGATGATCCTTGTTGTAGAAGTTGATCTTTGTTTTGGTGAAAAGTCTATTGGTACAGCCTCAAGCAAGGAAACCCAAATATTACAGAGTACAGAGCAGTACCACAAAAACCTGTTTTTTGGGGAGGTGGAGGGCTCACCACACCAAACAAAGGTATGTGTGCACTCTGGCTTTTATCAAGGTGATCAACACTGACCTGCAGGAACAAATCAGCAAAAGTTGTTTGTTTCTGACCTGGTGATCAGCCAATGTTTGTCCTGGTTACTAAGGAAACAGACAACACCCTCACCGGAGACTTTGGTGCTTCAGGTGTGTTCAGTCCCCTCGTGCTGCCCAGGAGGAAAACACGCTCATCTGATAATACAGAGCGCAATGTTGGGAATATAGATAAGGTACACAAAACATTCAGAGGAAAATAATGCATCACATAGATGATGACCTTTGAGACTACTGACATTTTTTATCTGTCTTAACTGAAAAAGGCGGGAACTTCGGTGAAGGAAGTGATGCTTAGAGATTTGGGTCATGTACTGACATGTTCCCTACATGTGCTCTTCATGAGTTCCCTGAAAGTATTCAGGTCTTCTCATGTAATTATAACCTATATAGCATAATAAGATAAAAGCCGTGTGCCCAGAACCCAAAATAAAACCAAATTAGAGGGTAACTTTGCATATCCTTAGAATTTTGTTGAATTATCTTTTACATGTGCAATGCGTAATGAGTGACTGCTTCTGTCCCCCCTCTGCCCCCCATCCTCCCAAGATAGCTGCAACGTATCATATTTTAGATTTTCATTGTACAATAAAAGTTTAAAAGGAATAATAAAACACTCATCGCAAATCCACCCATGCTGATGGGAGGGTAATAACTTTACCTTATTTAACTGCTTTTCAGTCTACATTTCAGACTTATTCCTTTCTCTGGCAAAAAAAAAAAAAAAAAAAAAAGTTTTACATTTGCTTTTCCTTCTATTAGACGTATGAAAATTCATCCATCCATTGTGTATACCTGCTTATCCTAAAAGAGTTGCAGGGAGCGAAAGGTAGAGTACGCACTGGACAGATCACTAGTTCATCACACTGTAAAACCACGAAACACATGATAAACAACCGCGCACACACACTCATGCCTAAGGGCAATTTCAAGTAACTAGTTTACCAAACACTTCTGCTTTTGGATTGTGGGGCGAACCCAGAGAGAACCCACACATGCATAGGGAGAAGACGCAAACGCCATGCAGAAACAGCTCAGACTGGTATTTAAACCCTGGATCTTCTTGCTGCAAGACAGCAGTGCTGACCACACTGCCAAAGTGCATCCACATATAAAAGCATTAGGTATAATTTGTGGCTGTTACTAAGAAATCAAGGAAACCTTTAAATAAATAAACTAAGTTGCACTAAATGTAATTTTAAAAGCGGTAAAGTTCATTCGCGTGCCAAAAAGTCCTTTATAGTGGAAAACTTGTGTGTGTTTCTCATTTCACACTTTTCATTGAATTAATGGCTGTTCATTAAAAGTAACAAAAAGTTCTTTTAATCTGCCGTGCAGAGGAGATTGGAATTCGATTGCTCAGTAACATGTTCAGGGAGACTAAAATCTAATGCAATCATTAATTTGGCAGTGGTTGAACTGTACTCTCATGTCAGCACAAACAGGATTTTACGGAAGTAGGAAGGAGGAGGTGTGATAGACTCTAGGCCTCCATGTGGCTGACAGTTTCCCAGATGAACACACAGGCTTCTGCAGACTGCTCTGTCTGCTTGTGTTCA